ACCATAGATCCGCAGGGCCGCCAGTCTCACAGCACGCGTGGAATTAACAGTAGGAAGGTGGTTTCCTTAGGCGATGAAGGGGCACCGGAGGCATTCAGCACGGTAACTCGATAGCCGATGTGTGTGTGGCTGAATAGCGAGAAAACTAACTGAAACGGCCAAAAAGCCTGCAAAAACCCCTCTGGTTTACACGACTCAAGAAGCGATTTCAGACGAGTTTGGCTTCGGCATCGCGCTAGTCACAGCTCGCAGCTACGGTGAAAACGACTGCATATATTTACTCATATACCCACAGCACCGCAGCCGCTTCATGTCAGTCACCTCGCTTCACATTGTACATCGCAAATGAAGCGATACGAGCGTCCCGGTCGGTATACTGCAGCTTCATAAGGCGCTATGAGGGTACCTTCTCGGGAAAATCGCTGCTCAGGGATCCGAATTCTGTCCTGCTAGGGATATTAATCTGACTCGTCCTACAAGGGAAGCCCAACAGGTCGATCCGGCCATTTGCAATGAGATGTACATATGTGGACGTGTCTTGAGCCGCTGAATCCAAATCTGCCCTCGGAATTTGCGGAACGATTCTCTGAAGGGAGTTACGGACCATTTAATCTCTGCTCTGTCCGCACAAGTTGGGAACGATAAGTGCATACCGCAAGCGGTCGGTGGCGTAGTGAATAAGCGCACTGCTTCGGAGACGCGAGGTCGTACCTTGGATCCCTCGAATGCTGGAACTTGTGGAATTATTTGCTTTTGTTCCAAACACTTCATTTGAGTCTCTAAAACACTTCTGTTCGGCCAATTTACTCAGTTCTTTAATTATTTGATTTTACCCTTCCGAAAAGCATTTTCAAGCTGATAAGTTGTTGGCTCCACCACGCAAAACTCATCGTCTAAGCAGCTTATGCTATATTGAATTGAACCTTGTGTGGCTGCTAAAAGATCCCCGCCCTCCCACCAGTCGACGCTCCTCATAGTCGACTCGTGGATTTCCTTCATATA